GATTACTCCTCATCACTTTCCTCTCTTCCAAGTGCCTCAAAATGGATTTCTTAAACGCCTGAAATTTGTTGGCCCAGGCAAGAGTTTCCAACTCCACAGAACTGACACTTCTTTCCCACAGATGGGTAAGACCTAAAAAGGAGGTATCAGTGGCCCTGGATCAATTTTCATAGTGAAGCTGCTGAAAGCCATTGAACCAAAGTGTAAATCCTGTATAAAATAGAAAGCATCTTGAGTCAGGGAGTCCGCCTGCATCCCTATTTCCAGCATCTATGGGAGGCATTATAGAGAACAAGGCCTGTTCTTGAGGCCCTGGACTGGCATATAGTAGAAGCAGGTTCAATTTCTGACTCTGGCAATAGCTTCCTGTGTTACAGGACGTAAAATCTCTTTGTGTGTGTGCGTGCCACAATTCTCCAACTGAGAATTTTTCTCCCACCCTTCGCTTACTTTGATTATCAGTAAATTAGGCTTCTTGCAGCCTCCTCCAATCAACTTGTCCTTATACTACAGTCTTTTTTTTTTTAAACCTATATAAGAATAAAAACCCACAAGAAAGCAGTTAAAGGGACAGGACAAACTATTATGTAGGAGGGAGCCAAATATTTGTAGAGGTCAAACCTAGTGGTTGGAGCACTAGCAGTAGGACTGTTGGTTAATGCCATCATAGCCAGGCCAGGAACTGGAGCCAGAGGTTAAAGCCAGAGTCAAGAGCAGAGATGGAACAATTCAAAAGTAGAACTGGGAGTTATGCTGGAGCAAAAGTGAGGCTGGAACAGAACAGGGAATATATTTAGCGTCTGAACACCATTGGAGCAGGTAGCACCATCCCAAGGATGGTGTGCAGCACAGGACAACTCCTCCCCGCCTTTGCCCTGCCCCCATTCCACCCCTTTGCTCAAAACCCAGCCCTTCTCTACCCCCTACTGTACCCTTTTCTCTAAGCCCCCTCCCGGGATATTAGCAGTGCGGTGCTGGCTGGAGCCAGCAGCAGCAGTTAGCTCCCCCAGCACTCACTGCAGCAGCAGGAAGTGGAGTGATATGGCACCAGCCTGCTGCACTTCCCAGAGCCCAGCTCATAAACATGTTGCTCAGGGGAGTGGAGCAGGCTAGATCTGGGTTACTCCACTTCCCGTGGTTCCAACCACCACTGGCAAGTACTCCTTGCCAGTCCCTCCTCCCATAATCCCTCAGGAGATCATGTACCCTGCAAGGCCCCCCAAAGCACAGGGCCTGGGACAATGCATGAGACAGTTCTGAGAGCAGGAAACTGTGTGGAGTCTATACACTATCAGACAGATGAGAATTTCAAGCCATGAAATAACACTGGGTGACCTAAGCTGCTTTTTCTCTTGTGAAGCTTCTATGCCTTCCCTGAGTCACCAGAAATGCTCCTGGCTTGTGGATTGGCTGGAGTCTAGCAAACAACTGACTCATTACTGCATGTGGATGAGTCAGGTTTTTCCTCAGATGACTCATCTCACACCTACCCCCTTTGAACATGTGAAACAATCTTTTGAAAATCAATTACCAGTTTGCAATTATTAGAAAATAGACTAGGAACCTTTCTTCTGCTCCTCCGTTCTGAAATCTAAAAACACTTTGGTTGTACCCAGTGAAGTTCTCTTGATATGGAGCAAAATTTTCTAAAACACCTAACTCCTGTTTTAAAGAGAGACTTTGCTGTTTCAATAATTTTTTAAAAATTAACCCATGGTCACTATTGGCAATATTTTTTATACAGCCAAAAAGGGTACTTTTGACCACAGAGCTGGCTACGTCTACACTGGCATGATTTTGTGCAAGAACTCTTTTGCGGAAGAGTTCTTGTGCAAAAACTCTTCCAGAAGAGAGCGTCTACACTGGCATGTGCCTTTGAGCAAGAGATGTGCTTTTGCGCAAGAGCATCCATGCCAGTGTAGACGCTCTCTTGTGCAAGAAAGCTCTGATGGCCATTTTAACCATAGGGCTTTCTTGTGCAAGAAATTCATGTTATCTGTCTACACTGGCCTCTTGCGCAAGAACAGTTGCGCAAGAGGGCTTATTCCTGAGCGGGAGCATCAGAGTTCTTGCACAAGAAACATTGATTTCATACATTAGAACGTCAGTATTCTTGCGCAAGAACACACGGCCAGTGCAGACAGGCAGCGTTTTTGTGCAAAAGCGTCTGCTTTTGCACAAGATCGCACCACTGTAGACACAGCCAGGATGAAAGAACAGAATGAGGATTTTAAGGGAATTTTATTTCCCATATACTGAATTCCTAACTCTCAGGGTGGTCAAACACTGGAATAAATTGCCCGGGGAGGTTGTGGAATCTCCATCTCTGGAGATATTTAAGAGTAGGTTAGCTAAATGTCTATCGGGGATGGTCTAGACAGTACTTGGTCCTGCCATGAGGGCAGGGGACTGGACTCAATGACCTCTCGAGGTCCCTTCCAGTCTTAATATTCTATGAATTCAGATTTGGCTCTGTTTGCCTTGGGACCTATTTGAGCTGAACTTCTGCTTATCACAGCCCTTAGTAACATAGGCTCAGTTGCTGAAAACAGTAATGCCAATATTTGGAGCTGACATAAATGATAGCTGTAAAATAAATGGAAGGTAGATGGCTTTATCGGAATCAATTACATATGAAATTGAACATCTTGCAAACAAACTACAATAAAAACAGGAACATATTTATTAGGGTAACATTTTAGAAAATCCAGATAGACATATTATAAATATGAATAACAGAGCCAGACAATGAAGTCTCGTTGCACTTAAAGAGCTATGAATTAACATTCTGGCATTGGGTGAATGAGTTTTTAAAGGATAGCACAAAAACACATTTTTAAAATCTCATGTCGTGGTGCATGATTATGAAAGGATACTGTAGAATTATTGTCCCACTTCTATGAGCAGTGCCTTGTCTGCAACAGCTATGTGTGCACAGGAGAATTAAAAAGGGAAGGAGGAGGATAGATATGATTAAAGGTTGAGAAGATGACACTTCTGTACAATGTAATATTAAAGCTGTTAATATGTCCATGTTCTAGTTTTCTAATACTCTATATTCTACCTTCTATAAAAAGAACCATAAAGGTTCTTTAATTTATAGTTTTGCATTATTCATGTTTAAAGGAGATTTACATTCAACTACATCTAGCTAAAGTCTTACTTTAAGTATATTTTAGGTCTCTAAAAAAATGTAGTTATGGTTTAGTTTCCAAAAAGATAACCATACCAAGCAATAAGAGAAAATAAAATATTTAACTGGCATAAATAATCAAAAACAATACAAATACACAAATAAAATGCAAGGTAATTGAAGGCACCTGTACAAGAAAAAAATTGGGTCATATCTTTGTTCTTGGTGTTAAGAAAAACTATGTATACAATACTTAAGCTTAATCTTTACTTCATTATTGAGCACACAAAACTAGCTAATGCTTTTCAGGCAAGTTTTCATTTTTCAATTAACATGTTTTATTTCCAATCTGTTCTGAGTTGAAACAAGAGTTACATTTGCAGCCTAGGAAAGCAAAGATAAAACTTTGTTCTCCCTTTTGTGTTCAGCTGTACAATTTATTTTTTCTCCTGGCAACAGATTTTAAATCTCTTTGCCTTTTTTTTCCATGGGAACTGTTTGGTAAGTGCCGACATTAGAGCTGACAAAGCTTTGTGTGTGTCGTCCCCCCCCCCCTTTGCCTGGTTTCTGTGTCTGTGTGTGCAGGCATGCATTCATTAACGTAATTCCTCCACATTCAACAAGAGTGCATCATAAACCAGAAGGAAAAAAGCTCATAAATATTTAGATCCTCCCGTCTACCTTCCAAACTAAACTGAAAAAGAGTATTTAGTAAGAACTTGGTCTAAGTTAATCTGCATATGAATTGAAAAGGGGCACAAAAGGATGAAAAGGTAGTGGAAACTAGCATACAAACCCCATGGTCTCCAGGGGGTCATTCATCTTGTTCTTGTCAATACAATCTCAGTCTCACTGCTTGGCTCTTTTCTGCGCATGACCAAACAGACCAGCTTTGCAAAGGTTGCAAAAGGATGTGCATGTTTTGTTCCAATTTTGTTCCATCTTGTAATTTTTCTGGAGAAGAAGCAATATGCTTCACATTTTGTGAGTAGCTGGCTTCTCTAATGACCTACCTGTTTGTTTGCTCCCACTCCATGTGCATCAGAAGTCTGAATTTAGTAACTGACATTAACAGACAACTAGATATAATCAATTTTTAGATTATAGTTGATACAAAAGACTTATGATGAAGGTCTATCTCTTTCTATAGAAAATACAGTAAAATTGTACATTTTGCTATTGTTTGATACATGGTTGAAAAATTATACAATATGAGCATGATTCTCATTTCACACCAAATCAAAATTAAAGTCTGTAATTAAAGTCTGTTTATGCATAAATATTAAGCTTGTTACATCTAACATATACTATTTATATATTGTGATAGTATTCACAAAGGGTCCAATAACATTGTGAGAAATAAGAAAAAGTTTCTTAAAATTGCAAATTTGAATATTGCATTTATATAATGCTTTTTTGTCCCTCAAATTACAATGAAGAATTATTCCAATTACTTCTGCTATAATCACTCTTAAGAAAATGTCATTTTTACAACTAGAAAGATGCTTACTGTGTACAGTATTAATTATACTTATTTTATTGTGCGTTTGAGGTCAAATTAATGAGGAAGAATTACAATTTTTGTAAGAACTTGGGAGGTACAGTCACAGAGTTTAGACATTCTTCTTCAAAATGATTCAAGGATCTCTAAATTGTGTAAGCTGTGTAAATAGTATAATAGTGAAAATAAAAATAAACAGTGCAAATAATGGCTTCATACATGGCAGAGCTATTGATCAGAAATTACCAGGCTAAGCATATCTTTTTTTTTTTTAATTTTGATTACTAAGAGAGCAAAGTCAGAGTTTACTTGGATTCAAAACTTGATTAAGTAATTTACTTCGTTGGTCACACACAACCCAAGTGGCAGGGAGAAGGTAATTTTTTTTCTTAAATGTACTTGATTTCCACAATCCAGTCTTTTCCCTCTAACATAACCCCTCAGGTCCAGGTACTCAGTTATTTAGGCACCTAACTCCCATTCATTTCAAGGGAAGGTAGATGCCTAATTATCTTTGAAAATTTGGTCCTCTATCTTTTTATTTTATCAGAGACTTCTTTTAAGTACTCCATTAGTAATCACCTTAAATGCTGTCAATCTCTCTCAGGGTTTTCCACTACAGATGTGACAGTGTAACCGTGTAAACAGTTAACTGATGAGCCTGGGCTCATTGGTTAACTTTTACATGCAGGCTCCTGTTATGCTGTAAAAGAGGCAGCAACATGCAGTGAGGGTGGGGGAGGAAGTGAGAGGGAGGGGAGGGCGACAGGAGCCAGTATGCAAAGCTCCTGTGGAGCCAACTGCTGCCCACTGAAAATGTCAGTTGTTACATGGTTACTTAATTACAAGCATTTTAACATCCCTAACCTCTATCCAATCTGAAATACTATTGCTGGAATTCCTGGATATCATATCTGTAGTTAGAGGGCTGATGAGTAACTCTGCATGAATGGAAATCAGCTATGCAACTTTTCCAGAAATGCACCACCTACAAAGTATTATTAGGAGGAGAATGACATAAAATAGAGGAGTTGACTTTTTAGGAAGGGGATCCCATTTACTCTTGGCAGAAATTGGCTATTAGAGGTTTAAGAACTAATGTCTGTTTGTAAGAGGGTAGGGGAAACATGATTATTTTGAGATAAAAGAAAGCTTTGACTCGAGTTGTATATCCTCAGCCTCCCTTTTTTGGAGTATAGAAATAGTCTGCAAGCAGGGTAAACATAAGGAACTCTCTAGATCTTAGTGAAGGAAAGAAGACTGCCCAGGAATGGCTAGTCAACACTTTACTTGTAGTGCCTTTCTGTTGTTTCTTTATAATGATACTTTAATTAAAAAGGGTTTTCCCCCCTACTTGGCCTGAGGAGCCTTTACTTTGCAGTTCCTGCTGTGACTTGTTGGGTCTCTGACTGTTGCCATAATCAGACTTAATGTTAACTTGTGAATCATGAAGAAGGCAGTAATATTCAACCTGCAAAACTGGATGTTTGAATACAGTATTTGGGAAAATATAACATTTTAATGCCTATGAAGAGAGGAAACAGTCTCTTCTTCAATTCAGGAAGTGGAGGCAGGAGCTGGAAGACAAAGAATAAAACCTAACATCCTTGGTGTTTTTCAAAAAAATGACTGAGAGGGGCAGCCATGTACGCCTGTAACTGTAAAAATGAGTAGTCCTGTGCCACCATGTTAGCAGTACATAACCTTTCAGACTAGAAAAATTTCACATATAAAATGCTATAGAAGACAGGCTATGAAACTCTGGTTGATCCATATATTATATTCTTAATAAATACCACACTACTAGATCTCTGACTGAGAAACTTGTAAGGCTAGAGTTCTAACAGTCATCCTTAATTCAGGAATGATCTTGTAAATACTGTGATATAAAGCTGCTTAGCTTGTTACTTTTGCCAATGAGATTTAGTGGCCTTAACAAATTTTGTCTTTTCCATGAACTTTTTAACATACTATACATACACATAACATACTATATATATACATAAGAACTTTGCAAATATATAAAACAAACCTAAAGCTTTAGATTCAGTTGGTTTTAGATTGTACAAGCAAAACATGTCTCTTGAACACATAGGAAGTGTTTGCATCTCTCTCTTCCTTCCTTTTCCCACCCTCATTCATAACTCAACTTTCAAAAACTCTAACCTCTAGGTTTAGAGCAACCATGGAAAATTCCAATCCACAAAGAATTTGTTGAGAAAATATGATAACTGGAGAAAAAAGGAGACTCAGAACAGAAGTGACATTGGAAATGAATGTCTAGTCTTAACTGTAGTGATATCAAGGGCATATTTCCAACTTCAAGTCCTGATGATTACACGTCTGGCTTTATGCTTCTGGTTAGACAAAAAAACTTCTTGATGGACTTCTGATTTAAGGCAATTTTTTCCATCACATATACCTAAAGTGAATTCACAACTCTAAAAGAACTGTTACACTTCTGGAAAAACAAGACAATGTGACAGCATTTTAATCAATGGGACTACAAGGTGAACATTAAGTTTACCTTTAATTTTTTCTTATAGCACAAATGGTATGTAGACACTTAGTCTGATCTTGCAAACTGTTATTCTAATGAGCGGTTCCATTAAAATCAGTAGATACCCCTTTTTTGCAACAATTCTGCCAACTAACACACTGTTCATAATTGTTTTGAAAGCAACATTTTAAATGGCAAATGTTTTTACTACTTTGTCAGAATCTCCTAAACAAATATGGAGTCAGAAGCATAGCAGATATTGTTTCAATTTTTTTTTAAATGTGCAAATATAAGAATGCCATCTGACCCATTACCCTGTCTTCCAACAGTGACCAATGCCATATGCTTCAGAGGGAAAGAACCCAACTGGGCAATTATTGAGTGATTCAACCTGTCATCCAATCCTGGAATCTGGCAAAGATTTAGGGACATGGAGAGCATGGGAGTTGCATCCCAAACCATCACATAAAACAAAGGAAAAGTCAAAGATATATTTATGCTGTTCCATACTTAAGTAAGTTCATATTTGTGAGTACCATCTCCTCAGAACTCCTTGGTGCATAGACATCTGTATTGTTACAACTCCCAATAAGTGCATATACTACTGTTTCTAATCACAATCCAATTGTTTTAAATAGGAACATGTGTCTAATACACGTCCCTTGCAACTAAACCACTTTATTTTAAACTGATGACTAGCAAACCATTAGCTAAACAGGGTCACATGATACTTTATCAAGTAATTGGATTGTTTTGTAATTCAAGTGATCTGGCTTCCTTCTGAGCCATGGCAGCTGCCACCTTTTGGCTTTGAGCCCAAGATCCTGTTTACTGGCTGCTGTGATCCCTCCTTAGATGTCCAGTGATAGCCAAACAAGTATTCCACCAGACTGAATCTGAGTGCAGAAATGCCAATCTGAGTGGTGTGTAATTTGGACTACCCTCATAGCAGTCAGAAAAGATCCTGTAGTATGTGTAAGTCTGGGTCATAATTACTTACGCTTGTATAGTGCCTTTCATTCAACATTTTAAAGTACTTAAGTAAAACATGTTTCGTGGCCTTTGAAGTGTTATGAAACTGGGAAAAGGATCTTAGGGGATATGAAAGCTACAAACTATATGGCTGCTATATTCCAGTAGATAATTCCAAGTTCAATCTGTGGGTAGAAGGCTAAGAAAAAAAAAAGGTAAGAATGTCATATGCTATCAAAACATCTCTCATAAAAAGGTGAACTTTTCTACTTGCCTGAGATTTGGGAGATTAGACACTTCCTGCTGCTTTTCTTTAAAGGAAGAATGTGAACCCCTATTAAAAAGGCAGGAGACAAGGCCTCTGCCCACAGATCTTTATTCTAATGTGTTCAAACTCCAAGCATAAGAACTCTGTGTGGGGAACCAATAGCTGTAGTGGTTTTTGGTTTCTTAGCTTTGGCAAAATGCTGTTGAGTGAGTGTTCTGCCTTCCATAATTGAGACTCTTCTTGCCTATATTGTTTCTGCCTTTCCTTACTTCCTGTAGCAAAGGGGACATCTGGGCTTATGAGGGATAAGGGAAGCCAAGGAAGTGAGGCAACAATTACTCTTTCCTCCTCAATTTCTTTTAAAGTCTGAAATAAAATATTCTGTGTACTGAAGTTGGGAATTTAGAAAACTATTTTTTGAAAAGGAGTAAGACCTTTAGCTGGCTGAAAAAACAACCATATTTTGTGTCGCTCTTTCAGACTGACAGGCAATAGTCTGATACTAAACCACATCAACAAAAATGACATTAGCTCATTACCAAAAAGCTTTTAAAAATGCAGAATCTTACTGCAGTCCTTCCAATGTGGCATTATTTGTCAACACAAATTTCTTGGGAGGCAAGATCTACCATGCATTGTACAGCATGAAGCACTTCATTGTCTGTCACAAGCATTTTACATTTGTATTTTTAATTATCTGTAGCAATTAACATACAGGTTGAATTAATATTGTTGTTGATCATGTTATAATATGATGGAAATGGATCCTTAAGATTAGAAAATGGAATTATATAATGGTGATTTGGGCAACTGTAAGGCTAGATGGCCAATGCCAGTCAGGTGCATAATAGGAAGAAACTTATGATAATACAGAAGTGAGACAACTGGCAGAATCCCTTAACTGCTTATTTTGATCTTTTAGAGAGCATTTCAAAAAGTGTACAACTTTTATTAAATGTATTTATGGTTTTAAACTGGACTCCAATAACATTATTCCAACTTCTCTACTAATGCACTTACATTTAAAATTGAATTATAGGGATCATAGATGCTTATTTAGGGGGGACAGAAATGCAAGTAGTTGACACAACTATGTTTTGGAACTGTGCCCTTCCAGGTTGGTCAAGGTCAGTTGGGAAGAACTGGTTTGTTTGCTGGTGGCGCTTTACAATTCCTTTTAAAGAAGGTAGGGTGCCTCTTGTTCTGAAACATAAACATGGCCTCTGCTCAATAAGTCATCACTTCATGTTGACAATCCAGTGAATTATAGCTCAGTATCACACCTTTCCTTGTAAGCAAGATTATGAAAAAGGTTGCAGTGACACAACTAACAGGGTCTCTAAGTGCCTTTGATCTTCTTGACCCTTGTCATTCTGGGTCTAAACTTTAGTACAGAGACTGCATGAATTTTGGTGACCGATAATGTTCTCTCTGAAATAAATTCAGATGTCCATAGAAGTTGCATTAGAGCTATTCAATTGGCTTCCATACTGTTGATCATAATATGTTGACTCTCCTATAAAATGTAGTTAGAAGTGGAATGAAGTTGTCCTTTTCTGTCTTACGAGAGATTACATCAACTGAGGAATGACTCCTTTTCCTATAGATGCTGCAGACTCCTATTCTGTCATCCTCCTTGTTCAATGTGTACATGACACCACTATGAGGGTATGACAGGGTGTGCATATCCTGCACTAAAAAAGGAGAGTTAAAACCCTGTGGACACAGGAAGTCCCACCCCTCCACCCAGACTGGGCATGTTTCAAGTGCTGGAGCAGTGTAAAAGGGAGTAGCTCAGCTCACCCTGGCCTGGGCAGTGGAGGAGGACTGACTGCAGGAACTCCAGAGACATGCCAGCCAGAGACCTGGGAGCCCCAGGGAGAGGCTGTTGCTGTGGAACATTCATACACCAACTCTGGTAGGAAGTGACCCAGGGACGGTGCGGGAGTTACCTCCCACCCAACTGAGCTTGGTTGTTGTGGTTGAATTCCCTGCTGAGTGAGTTGAGAAGCACCCTGCCACTTACGAGGCCCTATGTTGAGGGCTGGTGGAGCAGGGTGGACCTGCCCCCCACTACTGGGGCTATTGCTGCAAACTACTGATGCTAGCCATTGGGCAGTGCTGCCCTGGACTAATGGATGTTACAGACTGACTGGGGTTGCTGATGACCCAGCAGCTGACGAGGTGGCGTCAACACCCCTGGGTACCCAAACTTTGAGGGTTAAGGTGTGCATGAGGCTACTGTGGCAGAGGGTTAGTAAGGAGAAATAAGAATGTAGTATTTAGTATGCTTATTCCTCTCAGGGGCATAGGTCTGCCTCATCCCACTGACAGTGATGTGGCTCAGTACTTCAGCCAATGTCTAAGACATAAATTGGGGATGTTAAATTGCGAGTGATTGACTATTGGATTAGGCGATAGGATGCCTCTGCCTTTAAAGTGTAGAAACAGCCCTAGGGCAAAGCGCCATGTGGAGCATGGGGTCAGCTGGGGACTCCCCCACTGACCCCGGGCTCTGTGCGGCACTTCTGCTTTGAAATGCCATGAGGAGCCCAGCGTCAGGCTTCGCACAGCATTTCAAAGTGTCAGCGCCCCACGGAGCCTGGGATCAGTTGGGGACTTCCCCGCTGACACCAGGCTCCATGAGGTGTTTCAAAGCAGCAGTGTCACATGAAGCCTGGGGTCAGCGGGGGAATCCCCTGCTGATCCCCAGACCCCATGTGGTGTTACTGCTTTGAAATGCCATGTGCAGCCTGGGGACACCTTGCTGACTAGTCCTTCACATCCCTAACATGAATGAGAACTGGCTGAAGAAGTCAGACAACACAAAGGTGGTGAAGACAAGGTCTGGGAAGCAGCTGGAAAAGACAGTGGAGGTACTATCAATCCCTTTGACTCAAAGAATGATCTAACAGTTATCAGATTTTGCAGCTTGGGAGTGATATTAAGCACTGCCCCTTTCAGCTGCTGCCAGTGATCCCATTAAAACAGTAACCAAGTTAGGATTTTATGATCTGTGCCAACCCTCCTTTCAGATACAGACATTGTCAGTGTTGTTTAAAGTCTGTTATCTCCAAACGAGACAATGGCAATGTTCTATGAGAGCTCTATCTTTAAAACCATTTATATACAAGCTTATGCAAAATGTAGCAGCTTGCTTGCTGAGTACACAAACCATCCATGCTTCTAGATGGGGACTGACTGCCTGCTTATGTCCATATAGAGATAAGATGCTGGTTATGGTCTACAAGACACTTACCTGAGATGATATCCCTGTGATAGACAGCCATATATGTAGCCAGCGATGCTCACATTAGGTCATGTCCCTTGCAACCATCAAGAAGGTTTTAGTAGACTCTTCTCAATGAGGGCCCCAAGACACCGAAACTTCCATCCATTCTCCCAATCTGAAAGTCCATATTTGATGACCACCTAGGAATGTTGCAAAACCCATATATCTGATAGTTGTTTTTTTTTTTTAGAGACGAATGAAGGTGTGCTCCTGAATATGATTCTGAGAATGAATTGTTACCTTCATTTAATTAGGTAAGGCTTCTGATTGACAATGATCTTCTAATAACCCTGCTAAGAAACTAGAGTTACTGTCACAACACAATTTTTGTACAGATATATTATGTAGAAGAGACATTACACACAAAAAGGTAATGAGATATTTGGAGATTTTTGGAGTCACTTGTGCCTAGCTACATTGGTTGGTAACCTGTAGAAATGCCAACATCTGGCTCATGGAGACTGATCTACTATTTTACACTGGACGTAGTACTTTCATATCATGGTTAAAACACACACAGAGGCAGTATCAGAGGGGTAGCCATGTTAGTCTGTAACTTTAAGAAAGTGTAGTCATGTAACACGTTAGACCAGTGCTTCCCAATTTTATTTGGTCACAGAACCCTTTTAAATTCAAAATAATTTAGCGGAACCCCTAATAACAGTCTTGTATATGGAGCTGAAAACGTAGACCACAAATAAGTAAGGATAATAATAAGCAAATGCTAAACAAGGTCATGAGATCAACATTTAGTTTAATTGCACATATTTAAAAATAAAAATCACATTTAATGTGTACAAAAAATAAATCTTAAAAACTAATATGCATTATTTTGGCAGTTGTCCTACAGACAAGATCCAAAACTAGCTTACGTGACAACGACAAAATTTTATCTTTCGAGAGCACTGCCTGCGCACTCCCACACAATCAATTCTTTTGACAGCTGAAGTGTCGACTTTGTTCGAAGCAGTGCTAGTATATTCGTATTCAATCACCCACATGATCTACGCTCCCTGAAAATGAGTACGGTGATTTATGGTGGTATATAACAGGTGATCACACTACTGATGGTGCATGGCACAGTGCTGAGTAGTGATATCATCGTCCCTACCCTCTGGCTAAGCTGGCATTACACAGGGACACTTATAGTGGCAAACAAAAGAAAATTATTTTCAATAAAATTAATAAATGCTTAAATTTTGTTTAAATCATAAAACATTATTGCAATAGAAATTAATCACGGAACCCTTATTTTAACTTTGCAGAACACCATTTGGGAAACACAGCATTAGACTAACAAAATATATCATGAGTTTTCAAGAGCAAAACCCACTTCAATATGGAGTTGCTGGCATTACTTCTTCTATGATTCTTGTATTAGCTCTCCAGAACTGTAAACTTAAATTTTAAATTAATTTAATTATTACATAAGAGGAGAATGCCTATTTGCTCACTGATGTCCTTAATTACATTTTTTCCAATTTGAGAACACACCCCTAAGAATGTCTTACATATAGTAACACATGTACACACACCAGATCAAAAAACTAAACCATGACACCTAGAAAGGACACAAATGTAGTCTTAAGACTGACTTGTCTGTATGTGACATCCTGTTATGTAACGTATCCCAAAAGTGTTCTTGGTCAAGATGTGAACTACTCCGATACATTTGAGAAACAGCCAAAAAAATTCAAGAGCCAGAAGAAAGAAAAAAAGCCTGTAACCTTGTTATTAAACTGGGCCAGTGGTTTTACATCAACAGCCAATGCCTTAAATATTGCTGCAGTGATACTGGAAGAGTAAGAATCTAATTTAAGAAACTAATTCATAACACTGCTACTCCCTCTTTGGGAACAAAACTACCATTGTATGTGCTTTATTATTTTCCAGATAAAAGGAAACTATCTTGATTGTTTTTCAGTAACAAGCCACTAATTTGACACCTGATTCTTTGCTTTGCTCAAAGTATTGGTATGCAGACAAAATCTCACAGAAAATGCCTCATCTCATTTCTAACTCAAGTATGTATATTTAAAATAAGATACAGGAAAAAACGCAATATCTGTGCTAAACTGATAACTATGCTTTCCCTTAAAATTTCAGTACTAGACAATAAACAACAGTAATGAAATAGTAGATGGCCCAAAAATATTGACTCAAAATGTCGTTTTACTTAGTTTAGCACTGGATGCATTTTATTTAGAAGAACATTTTATATTTGTTATATTTAATAGAGCACTAATTTGTATTTACTTAATTTGAATTTCAGACTTGAAAAGCCAACAGTACCTAGTTGAGTAATTTTTTTCCCCAGTTATCTATAATTTTACAACAGAGCTTCAGAGAGGTAGCCAAGTTAGTCTGTGTCAGGAAAAACTTAAAAAACAAATAGTCTAGTAGCACTTTAAAAACAAAACATGTAGATGATGTCATGAGCTTTCGTGGGCAAAACCTACTTCTTCAGATGACAGCCGTATAATGAGTCCAGATCCAAGGATAAATGGGGGGTGGGGGAAGGAGGGGAGGAAGAAAAAGAGACAGGGAGTAGATAAAACTTAAAAAACAAGGATTAGTTTAGTAGCATTTCAAAGACTAACAAAACATGTAGATGGTGAGTAGATAGTTCAGGTAGTTACAGGGTCTGTTAAGAACCATTAGCACCATCGTTGGTTGGTTGGTTGTTATTAAGCCATCCACTACCCCTCTTTAGACCATTAACATAAGAATTAAACTCGTGAATGAAGTTAAGTTCCAATCCTTCTTTGTGTATTTGGCTTGTAGAAGTGGTCTGAAACAAAACCAGGACTTGAAGATCCAGTCATGAGTGTCCAGGAAGATTAAATTGTTCTCCAACAGGTTTTTTGTGTTGCCTTTTCAGATATCTGATTTGTGTCCATTAATTCTTTCCTGTAGAGACTGTCCAGTTTGGCCAATATACATTGCAGTGGGGCATTGCCACCATTTGATGGCATAAAGTTCCACCACCCTATACCAGAAACCTACTGACTGCTACCCTTACCTTCATGCCTCTAGCTTCCATCCCAGACACATTTCCCAATCTATTGTATACAGTGAAGCCCTAAGATACAACCATATTTGCTCCAACCCCACAGAGACAAACATCTACAGGATCATGCACCTATAGGAGCATCTTAAAATTGAAATACCCACCTGAGAAGTGAAAAAACAGATTGACAGAGCCAAAAAAGTCCCCAGATATGAACTACTTCAAGACAGGCCCAGAAGAGAAAACAACAGAATTCCACTTATCGCCTATAGTCTACAACTTAAATCCCTCCAACACATTATCAACAATCTATAACCTATCCTGGAACATGACCCCTCACTCTCAGAGGTCTTGGGAGAAAGGCTACATGTTTTGTTAGTCTTTGAAGTGCTACTAAACTAATTTGTTGTTTTTTAAGTTTTTACAACCTAGAGCAGGGGTTGGCAAACTTGGCTCATTGCCTGTCAGGGTAATCCACGGAATTTGTTTACCTTGAGCATCCACAGGCATTGCTCCCCTCACCCTGCAGCTCCCAGTGGCCGCCTTTCACCATTCTAACAGTTCCCATTGGTTGGGAATGGCAAACTGTGGCCAAAACCAAAAGGCAGCTTGTCAACTAAAGTATGTGAATGTACTGCTTCAACCTTGCTCCTGCTGTCAGAAGTGCCCTACTTCACACAGTAATGCCACCTCTATAAGAGGCATAGAGCTTAATGGATGTAATTGGGATGTCAGTGTAGACCCTATAGATTATTTGATTTGGCTCTGAGTTGTCATTCTTGTGAATTTCCCAGCTCTATAGTATGAGCCACGAAACTGACAGGAAAGCCATGCAGCTCCATCTGTCATCCCAACATGGGCGGGCTCTACCTAGAGCCTGGCAACCCTGGAGGGGCTCCTTGGAGGGAGCCCAACAGCTGCCCCCCCACATCAGACACAGAGGTCCCCACGGAGCGCCTAGGAAACACGGATGGAGGAAGCTGCACTCCAGTAGGGAGCTGCACAGAGTTGAGAGCTTGGACTCTCCGTCCCCACCGGTATTGCCCCCTCTTTAAGCCACTAGAGTTGCGCTCCCGGTGAGGATGCGCACGACGGACAACAGGTGAGACGCACGGCTCTCGTGAGGCGGCTGTAAGTTAGCCCAATGTGAGCGTGCGGGGCAGACGTGCCCTAAACCCCGTTCGCTCCCGCCTGAGCAAACGCTGCCATGTGTTTATGGATGGTCTCACCCCTC